TTCTTCTTCTACCATTCTTAAGTCATTATCCAACTCTCTGATGTATAGCAAGTAATTATGAAGACCATGTTCTGTATCAGGCACACCTTAGTCTCTAGATTGACATCATTACTCTTTAGCACTTTGGAACAGTCCCTGACAAGCAAACTTCTTCAATTCACTTCATTTTTTTATTTCCTGATTGTTGGGGCCAAGGGTGTTGATTGTAGATCTGAGTAAGATAAAATTGTTCACAACCTCAGTCTCTATTATAGTGCTGAAAATTGGTCCAGTGGTGAGAATCTTTGTTTTCTCAATGTTGAACTTCAATCAATATTTAAGACTATAGTCCTTGAACTTCTGTAGCAAATGCTTCAGGTCCTCCTTAGTGTCAGCAAGAAGGTTGTATCATCACGTATCACAGGTTTTTGAGGGATCTTCCTCCAGTTCTGATGCCATACTCTTCACAAAGCCCAGCCTCCTGAATGATCTGTTGCATATTTAGATTGAAAAGGTAGGGAGACATGTTGCATCCCTGGTACACACATTTCCCGATTTTGAACCAAGCTATAGTTCCTTGCTTTGTTTTGAAGACTGCTTCCTGGTCTAAGTATAGATTTTGCATGATCACAATCAAGTGTTCTGGGATTCCTAGTCTTCTCAAGGTATACTGTTGCGTTGTTGATTGCTGGTGAGTCAAGCATGACTCATAGCTACCCTATGAACAAAAGACCTGAAGCGTTTCTATAACTATCCTTGTTTCTCAAAGTTCATAGTTTCTGGAGGCATAGGATTAGGCTACAATCCCAAAGGCATGCACTTCTAATCCAACAGCTGTCTGAGGGAGAAGGATGAACAATCTCCTTCTGTGTGATTTACTGCCTCCAAAAAACCCTTCAGAGACTCACCTATGGATCTGTTCCAGCTTGACAGCGCACAACAACAACAACATCAACAAAAAGCATTAGTAACTTCTCAGAATTTATAGGTTGAAATACATTGCAATAGGGAATACTTACAAGAGTCCTTGTGGCATGGTGCTTAAGTAATTGGACTCAATAAAACAGTGGTTTGAAGACTCTAGCCACTTCATGGGAGAAATGGGAGAGTCTGTGTTCACAAAGATTTATAGCCTCAGAAAGCATATATCTTATAGGTTGAAATTGACTTGATGTTAGTGTCTTGGTTTTCTATATTTGTTGTTAAGGTTTTGTTTTGTTTTAATAGGCATTAAAACCCAAATAATAGCAGAAACAATGAAAGAATCTGTACTTTGTAATTTAGATTGTTTGTTAAATTTATATCAGAAAAATAATTTTTGCATATCTCTATCTACCTACCTATTGATCCATCTATCAAAATAATGTGTCCTGACAATTTCCATATGTTTATCTACTACTCATCAGTTTCTTTCTTTTCTGTTTCTTCTTGTTCCCCTTTCCCAACATAAAATCAAACTCCTCTTACAGCAGCCTCTTAAACCATGAAAGACTATGACAGTGATATAGATAAGCTGCATTTGTTCTATCTTTTCAAGCTTTATATCTGGAGAAGCAAGTTCTAGCCTAAAGCATGCTTGTTTATGATCACATTTAGGTGACTGCTGCGATAATGGAATTGCTGATACATTGCTCCTAGCTGCTTGGGTAACCATTCTTTTATTATCAGGAGAGCAAATGCCGTTTTTAAGATCAAAGTGGACACCTCCTGGAAGCTACATTTATTACAAAAGGCTGAAATGTCCACGTTCTTAGGCCTCAAAGAGACTTAAATCAGGAAGACAGTAGTATTCAATAGACAAATGTAATTTTGACAGGACAGCAACCACCTAAGTAAGTGACAGGAACAGGAGGTAATTTAATTCTGAAAGTTACCATCTTCGCCAGCTCCAGGGTTAAGCAAGGTGCCTGGTACTGTGATAGCCACAGTCAAGGTCTTTCTGACAAAAGTATCTACTGTTACTGTAGGGACTGGGAATGTTTGGGTTTTTGTTTTTGGTTTTGGTTTTTTGGGGTTTTTTTTAATCATTTATACCATTTGAAATTCCTTTGGTAGCATTTTGATCCCATGGCAGTAGAAACCAGGGGCTGTAACTCTATATCACAGTAGAAGTAAAGTAAAGGTCATTATAAGTCAGTCACAATTATAGTGTTTGGAAACCTATCACTGATGAAGTCAAACCCTTAAAACACTACAATCTTGTGTAGTGGCACAACTGGACTGTGTCTGTTCTCCTGTCAGCTGCTGTATACTAACTGTTCCACCCTGTTTAGAGTACTTTTATATCCTGACTTTAAATTTAACCTTAAGTTCCTTTGTCAAGATATTCAGATGATCATCTTTAGGGAATTCCTAACAGCTCCTCCTAGCTAGGCTCATTTCAAATGCTTATAGTAGACCACTTTTCTAGATCACTAAATAAAACTAAACAAGCCAATCAAAAGAAAATAAAGCTAAATCAGCAGCACCCCAAAACTTTTTGGTAGTTTCAAATTATCCTTGAAGTCTTGACCAAAGTATTCAGCAAAGGAATAAAAGACCTTCATTATTCCTGCTGGGGAAAAAAATTAATTTGGAAATATGAAGAAACTCAGTTCCAGAAGTTTAGACACTAAATATGAATGCTTCATATGACAAAAGAATGGATTTCTTTTTTATCAGGGTAATGCCTCCCCAAATTTCCTATACTTTCTAAAGACTTCATCTTTCTAAAGACTTTGTTGTTATTAGGTGCCATCAAATTGGAACTGACTTATAGCTGACCCTTGAGCAAGTTTTCAGAATCTGTAAATTTCATGGGAGGAGATTGTTCATCATTTTTCCATGGACCAGCTACTGGATTTGAACTTTTTGCTTTTGGGTTGGCAGTCAGTTTCTCTTCAGTACACCACCAACTCTAGAGTGCCTTTTATAGAAATTAGAATGTAGGAACTTCCCCTAGCCCCCAATGTTTCTTGAATGTCTATTATGATTTAAAGTATAACTCTCATACAATGGGGTTTGATAGGATAGTGAATAGGTAGGTCGTACTGTTAACTCAAAGACAAAGTCTCTGGTGGTTTGAATCCACCAATGGCTCTAAGGGAGAAAGATGGTCAAACACCTCCCAGGTGGTCTCCTGTAAATCTGCAGG